CCCTACAATGCATAATTAAATACTGATGCTCGTTATTACAGGATATTGTATACAAAACAAGTAAGTTAAGAAGAAATTAGATAGGTTAGCAAGCAATGGGCAATGGATCCAGTGACAACTTGTAACACTTTTGTCGTGTAGCTCAGGACATACTAATTGTTGATTTCAAGAAGCAGAGAGGTTATAAAAGGGGAAGGATCATTTTTCTCCTACTTTGTCTTTTAAACATCTGTTCTTGGGCAGCTTCAGAAAAAGTTACTGGGCTAACCGGATCTCTGGTTTAACTCTATAGCACTACTTTTCTTTCGTGTTCTGTTTATTTGGACCAAAAGAAAGTTATTTGCTCAGGTTCAGAGACATCATCAGAATCCTAGGTCCTATCAACATTTTTAAAGATATCATACCAGTTAGAGATGCTAACACCTGTGTAATAAGGAAAAGACTGCAAATACTGGTAGAAACAGCTTAATTTCACCAAGAAAAGATTGTGCCTCAGTTGTGTTAACCAAGCTCAGTCTCTAGCTTCATTCACATAATTGTAGTAATGATCTTCCCCAGCTTTTCTAATGGTTACTGAAGCAGGCTGGAGTATCAAAGCAACCAGTCCATCCTTCTGGTTCCCCACAGCTGCACGGTGCTACTGCAGCAAAGGGCAGGGTTTCCAGGACACTGGCTACCTTAAAGTTTCAAATGTAAAAAAGATAAGATAACTCAGCTACAATTTCCTAAGCATTTGTTATCTCAGTCTATGGGACTCACTGGTCTACAGATAATCAATGGAAAATAGAACAGCCCAAAGGTTTATGTCTGATATTTGTGCTGGAGGAAGCTACAGGAGTTATGTGAGCACAAACTTAATTTAAAAGTATGTTTTATGCTATGTTGAGGTCAAGATCATTTCCCAAGTATTTTCTGATGCTCACCTTTGTGTCAAAAGGAGCAGAACATGTTCATAGCTGTGAGCAGAGTTAGATATCTGCCAAAGCAGCATACTGAACTCGTGGCAGTTCGTGCTACCATAAGCTTCAGGCTGCACAAGAGTAGCCTTTCCTTTTCTAATCCCAAAACCCACAGTGACTGAGGGCTTTTCAGATTTTTACTGAGTCAAAAAGATTGTCAAACAATGATGGAGATATTACAGTGGGAAAAGAGACAAGCCAGGAATACGCTTTTTTCTCAACCGCTGTAATTATAAATAGTCTTTGAGGAGACAAAAATTGCGTCTCTTTTGCTTTTCTCCCTGTCAGATCATCTACTCTTTCTTGACTGCCTCTTGGAAATATTTTTATGGTGGAAACTGTAGGTCTTGGAAAGATCTTTATCAACTTCTCACCTTTTTTCCTAATATTAATGGATGTTGCTGGTTCCCAGAGAAGTGTTACACTATCTTGAAGCATAATGTTTAGGTAAAATTTAATTTTACAGAGAGGAACTGTGTTTTTTATACCAGATGCCTTTTCATTTCACACTTTATTTGGCCAGTGACTCCAGAATATTGTCTTATGGAAAAACACCCAATATCAATTCCTAGTGGAATAAATGTCATGCCTCTGACAATCTCTCAACTTTTAATCCATGTATCAGGGTGCATGGAGGATGTTCAGTCCATGATTAGTGGACCAGTGAGGCTGCTCAGGGGGATGCCGCACGGGGACAAGGTGCCTGCTGAGAAAAGGGACCGCCTCATCCTTCCAAAATCTCTGCCAGCAGCTCTACTGCACATCAGCAATGCAGGTCCTGGGCTGTGACCCACACCATATTGCTCCATCACTATCCATTAGTCCTTTTTCTATTCAGTTAGCTCCTGATCCAGAGTTCTTTTCTTATTCCAGTCAGATCACCAACCTTGCACTCAGCCTGCCCCTTCAAATGCCTCTGAATGTATTTATTATGAAGTCAGAAGCTTGATAGCATTTAATAATATTTCTTATGAGCAGATTCTATTTATGGATCTCACGGTCCTGCCTGCAATGTAAGGTCACCCTCTTTCTTTATTGTCATTTTAGCAACACTGCACTGAGACTTGAAAAGAAAAAGTCACAGAATCACAGAATCACAGAATCACAGAATCACAGAATCACAGAATCACAGAATCACAGAATCACAGAATCACAGAATCACAGAATCACAGAATCACAGAATCACAGAATCACAGAATCACAGAAT